GGAACTGATAAGGATCAGAAGACAGAAATCTGAGAAGCAGTGAAGGACTAAGTTAGCAAGGAGGCAGCTGTGACAAGATGTAGAACTGGGAATGTATTGGAAGGGACTATTCACAAACAAAAAGCTAAAGGGAACAAGTAAAAGCATCTCTCCTAGTTTGAGACCCTAAAAGCCAAGATCCCCAATTTCCCTGTCCTGCTGTGCTCTCTGGAGATCACAAGGGCTGGCTGGGTTCCCTGCACTATAGTGGTCCCGTGACATGTTATTGTCCTTAGATTTTAACTGACTATAGCTACTTCCATGTAGAAAATTTGAAGGAAAGGTTTGAAAGTATGGGAAAAAGAGTTAAGAGGCAGGTAAGAATGTCCCAAACATCAGAAATGGCCTTAGTACTAAATTGAAAGCTTTACTTATTAGCTGTAATTGTCCCCGTTCTTGGTGTCCTCACACACACATTTACATACAGAAAACAGCTAAGGCAGCAGGTACTTTGGGAACTCACAGTAATGCTGAGATAATACTTACTGCCTCCATGTAGCATGATATGGGTCATTAGAAGCCTCTCACCGAGGACATTCTTGGGAAAATGACACAATTCCAAACTTTGGGACAAACGTAAGGAGTATTGGGAAAAGTTACACAAACCAGGCGTGGATCAAGGTGGCTACAGTGGTGAAATGTCAAATACCTTGACAATATACCTTCAACTCTCCCTGCAGTTATTACTCACTAAAATAACCCTAAAGCAATGTAAAACCTCAGGTTTAATTTGAAAATAGTCAAGAGAAACTATTTTCTCTTAAATACAGTAAGTCAACAGAATTGGATGGGGCTCAGCAGGCTTCAGACCCTGGCAATTAGATGAGCAAGACTGTGGGATCTTTCTAACAAAACTGCCTTCAGTGGAAACAAAAGATTGTTTCTAGTACCAGCATAAACTGAACACTGAGATGAATCAGGAGCATCAATTCTCTTGAGTGGCCTAGTTCTGTTCCCTCCTTTTGCCACTTGCTGTTCCAAGTACAGTGGTGTTCATGCCCCTTGGCTGCCGCCATGGCCAGCTCTGCAAGTGGCAGGAATGGTCAGAGGTCCCCTGCTGAGCCTCCCTCTGAGAGTCTTCACTTTTCCCATTCTCACTTTTGACCCTCAGTCACCTTTTTTTTTAATTCATTGCCCTTTCTTGTTGTTTTCTCCCAGTATCCTTTTCCTATAAAGGTTCCTGTGGCTTGGTTAGGGAGAGATGACGCAAGTGCTGGAAGGAGAGAAGAAAGCAAGGAGCAGAGCATAAGTTATCTTCATAAAGTGGGCACAGGTCATACATGTGGTCCCCATGTCACACATCCTAAGTAACGCAATATATGGGACTGATTTATTGGTCCCAATTAGGCACTCACTGCTTACAATCCATTTACATAAGACAACCCAAGGGCCAGACCCTGAAAAGCTGACCCAACACAGAGAATTGCTCCCAAAAACATAAATGTAGATAACCAGCAAGTGGCCAGCAAGGGATTCTCCCTGCTGTGTGCAAACAGGAGGACAAGTCAGGCCCCTTCAGGTACACCTGGAAGTCCTGTACCGCTACTCCTGCACCCCATCATGCAAGCTCAGCTCTTCTTGTTCACACTGGGAGCCAGGACTCAGACAAAGCAACCCTTAATAAATACCAGATCACAAAACCTCCAACCCTCACTCAACACAACCAATTGCACTTGCTGCTGCTTGCCAGAACCTACTGCCCACTAGCCAAGGGTAGGGAATAACAGCTCTGTCCAATGTGCAGCTCCAAACCACGCCATTTATTTGCACTTTTTCTGCCATTTTCTAAGCAAGATCTCGTCTTGAACTCCCCTTCAGGAAAACAGCAGGGGGAATAAGGATCTAGGTGCTTGTTCCACAAAGAAAGAGGGAAGGAAACGTAGGGAAGAGCTTGGCTGCTAGTCAGTAATGGCACATGGGAAGGAGACAGGACATAGCTTGGGGTATCTGGGTAAGATTACTAGAGGACAGAGAGTATGTTCCAGCATGAACTTAGTCCCTGAGGGACCGTCTGGGTGGCAAGAAGCCCAGAACCGCCACCCATCCTGGCCCTGTTTTCCATTACCTCAGCCCACACACACTCCCACCCTCCTGCCAGCCATGCTCGAATTGCTCCTCTCCAAAGGCTGCAACAATTGCTGAGCACAAGCAAAATAAGAGCCTTGCACTCATCACAGCACTTGGGGTCCGGGACATGATTTTGGCAGGAGAGCTGAAGCCAAAGGAGCAAACAGAACCCCAGGACAGACCTGAGATGGTCACAAGCACTTCTCTTGAACACCCCAAGGAATAAGGCACAGACCAAGAGCTCCTGCCAGGACAGTATCCTTCTATTATCACCTCTTCTGCAATGAGATGCCAAGAAACACCTGAGACTTCAAGTACATCCACATGGAGCTGCTGTACCTGCAGCCAACACTTGTTGAGCAGAGGACAGTGCTGCTGCCCTCTCTGCGTGGTCCCCACTCACGGCTCAGCTGAGCCTTTGTCCTGTGCAGGGGGACACCAGCTACCTGTTCATTGTAAGGAACAAAACATGGAAAAATCCAGAACAGACAGGTTCTGCAACAGGAAAGGCAGCAGTGGGGGAAATTCATGTAGAAAGCAGAAGTGAAGGGACAGCCACCTAGAGAGGTGTTTTAACTGTCCTGTAAAGGAAGTCACGTTGTTCACCCCTCATGGAGTGAGAAAGCATTTGCCTATGAACCTCCATGCTCCCAAATAAGCCATGGGACCAGAATCACGCACATTACCCTCGACACAGCTATCAAAACATTACAGTTTTGTTGCCATCATTGCCATGGCAAAAACACATTTTAACTCTGCAGAAAGTCAAGAACACAGTACTTCAACAACCCACATCTGGTATTTGTCTCTTCTCTTCAACAGGTATTATCACATCCGTTTTTTTTCAAACTGACCTTTGAGGCTCTGTTCAAAGAAATGAAAGAACTGGCAGCTGTTGTGAGAATATCCCAGAGGATATGGCTGCATCCAGTCATTGCATGGCCAGTCCCAAACAGAGCAAAGTGTTTGTGGAGCCTGGCAGAACAGGGCAGGGACAGGGCACACAGCCCCAGACACTGCCCACTCCTCACAACTGCAGCTCTGAGCCTGACCTCAAGATAACCAGGGCCAGGTGAAGTTATCATTATTACACCATGAGGTGCCTCAAAGACATGCCTGTATAACAGCAGCCTGACACAGGTTTTACTTACATTATACCCTGGCAACAGCACAGGAGGAAGTTTTCCTTTAGAGCTGTCCATACAGGCTTAATCTTCCCCCTGAAATGGTTGTGGCTGCAGCCCAGAGCTGCTTTGGTCAGTCACCTACAGACAACACCCTGGCTTTTCTTAAAAGTTTAATTATCAGAATATTTTATTGGCTGGATAGCCTCTTGCTGAAATTACTGCAGGATTTTCACTTGTTTCAGCCAAAATTGAGAGCAATTTTGCTTAAATAAGCTTGTCTGTGCCATCAGCTCCATTTCACCAGGGAAATTTGCTCTCAGTTATGCATATGACACCATCTATTGACATGACTCCACCAAAACAGGCATTTCAAACCCTTACATTCTGCCATTTCACATGCTGCAATTAATACTCAAGTTTAAATGAATCTTTGACACTAGACTTGCACTGTTTCACTTCTCTACTATGCACTTTGCTTGGTTTTGTTTTTCCAAAAAGAACTATTTGTTCCTGGAGACCTGCACTGCTTCCTATCACACCCAGAATCTCAACCATAGGAACTAAAGGTTTTACAATAGTAAACTTTAAAAAAAAAAACGTATTTCCGGTGGCAATTTTACAAACCAAACTGTACATTCTACTAAACAACTTGTAAAAAAAAAAACTCAGTAAAAAAGAGACCCCATGCCCAATGAGCACAATCCAACAAGAGTTTACTATGTTTTGGGAAGGCAACTCCTACAGAATTCAGTGGTTCGAGTTCTTAAAGCTGATATGGTCTGTTTTAATGCCCTTCTGTTCTCAAATGATGGGTTTGTTGCTGTGAAGAACAGAAGTCAGCTGCATTAATTCTCAAACGTAGCATGGATTAAAGCCAAGTTTAATGGTTACCATACAACCGCTTAATTTTTTTTCTTGCTAAGTCTTCTTTCAGTCTCCACAGCATTACTCAGTTACTATACACAGATCTAACAGTCAAGCATTTGAAGTGATACAGCAGTTGGGCAGGAGCCTTGAGGAAGAGCTCAGTGCCAGGCACGGCATCCATGCTTTCCTTCCTTCACCTGAAAGCCCTTACACCTTATGTGACAACCAAGAGCAGTCCAAAATTTTAACTCTGCTTCTTAGTGTCATATGTAAGCAATAATCAAAATAGCCCCGTCTCCCTGCCCATCTGTCTAAGCTTTTGTATTTGCTGATTAGTTCCTCAGCATTCCCAGGAATTTATCCACTGGCACCACTCAGTGAGCTCTCCAGGCACACCCTACAGCATTCAAGCTAATTCCCATCTCCAGAAAACCATCACAGGAGTCATTATGAGAGGCAACCTCAGAGACCACAGCTCCTCAGAGGAACAGCACAGCCAGCAATTCCCAAATCTAAACTACTGCATTTTACAAAGGGAGTCACAGCCCTACAAACCCGGTAGTTAGAGAGAAACCATAAACCAAAGCGCAATGAAGCGGATCAGAAACTGAGGCAGGAAGGGCTGGTTTAGGCAATTACATAATTAGTGGTCACTTTCAGAGAAGAATAAAGCCCCGCTTACCACTTAGTCTTCTCACCAATCAGCTGTTCAGCAGCTGCAAAGCTCACGGAACTGGAGTTCAGTTGTTTTGAAAGTTAACACAAATGAGACTAGCTGATGTGTACTTGATGGAGAAAAGTAGCTAAAATACTTAAAGGTAAATTCCTAGGAGAACTTTAAAGCCTCATCTCTGAGTTCAATATGCAAGCTACCCCCAATCCATAAAAAAGAAACAATAGTACTTTATTAAAATACTAAATTTTATTCTTTTTCCACATACATTTAGTCTCCCCACCATTTCCATTTGTCTGACCACCACCACCACCATGCCTTATCAAAACATTCCATACATACTTAAAATGAAGCTGAGGGTGGAGTCCCGTCTTTAAAAACTAAACAGGCATTTTGGACAACACATTCTTGGCAAGGTAATCTGGATGACATTTATCAGACACAGGAGGGAAAGCTCTTTCAGCATTTGTAAAAAGAACAGCCAAATAATGGTTACAGAAGTAAGACTGCAGATTTTAATGAACTGTTTAAACTGTTTTCTTTTCTTACAGAGTCTGTCTCCACTGCCAGAGAGCTTGAATGACCTGGAAGTGTACACAAAAAGTTAGAAATTGGAATCCATTATTCAACTTATTTTCAGTTTACTATCCACTTATTCCATAAAATATTGATATTAAATTTTATAACAAAAAATGCATTTCTTGCAGAGAAAATCAAGTTGAAAGCATGACATTAGGTCCTTCTGCTAGAAGGTTGTTATTCACACTAAGTCACAATAGTAAGAATTCAGTGAAGGTGAGTGAGAGGATGGGTGTGGACCAACTAGGTAAATATTGGCTGAACTCTGCCTACCCTGGCTAATGTCAGAGCAGCTCCAGCAGCTGAAGAGAACTTCTTTTCAACATTCTTTCAAGAATCTATCAATTTGTCCATCAGACAAGTTTACTCTGAACCACCAGGGGAATCAGGAAAGCATAAGGAATTCTGTCACTGGAAAAAAGTTAACTTACAGGAATTCTGATAGGGAAATCTAAGACACATTTTAACCGAGTCTGTGTTAGGTAATAACTAATTCAGAAACTTGCTTCCTGATATCACCATCTAGCTTGCCCTCTTTCAAGAGCTCAGTTCATTCTGGGACAAAATGTAGCAAGAACGCCACAATCTCCATCACAAAACAGCTCCCCCCTCCCAGACACCCTCCCCAACCAAGGGCTGAACAGCAGACTGGCCTAGGTGGCCAAATTCAGCAGTAAGGAAAACCACAGCTCATTTCCTTAGCCAGTATGGTGCCAAAAGGAAAATTCTGTGGGTTTAGTATGCAAGAGATAATTTACCAACCATATAAAAGCTGGAAAAATGTAATAAAATATTAGCTTTCCTATCTTAGCCAACTAAACCCTTAAAAACCATTCCCGTTTATGTAATTTGAAGTATTGTTTGTGGTTTGTAACCCTTTGAAACAGTCCAAAGCTTGTAAAGATTAAGAAGTGGAAAAGAACCTTTAAGACAGGTTATAAAAGTTTTTGGACTTTATCAAGCTCCAATAAATTCAGTTACCTTCTGGTCCTCCGTCCTGAAGCAATTCTTAACGTAGTTGGCAAATTTGGGTTCCAGCTTAGGCAGGATAGTACCCTATTTTGAAAAAAAGGCAAGCTTTAGTGTATGCAGGTCATTTAATGATTCCAATAAATAACCTATGTAGCTGAAACCCTTTGCAACACATGTGGAATTTTACTGAGCCCACCTTGCAACTTCCCACAGCAATCTGCTTTAAACCATTTTAAAATTTTCTTCTCTACAATATCCAGGGCATTTCTCACAGGAGTGAGTGGTTATGCACTAAAACTGCTGTCCAAGACTCTTGCTCGTGCTCCAGAGCATAACAGCAAGCAGTCACCACTTCAAATAATGCTGTTTGCAGTCAGATAAAGCTGTTAACTTGCTGGCTGTCAGCTGAAGTGCTGTGGAACCTGGGAATGCACACACCTCCTGCCTTATTCAGGGATGCTCTAGCACCATCTTGGAAAACATTAATTTAATCTGCCTGCTACAGTAGCACCATAATCAGCATTTCCCAGCAAAAACACTCTTCAGCAATAGTGTATTTTTAAGCTCCTTTTGCCAATCCTCTGCTCTGCTCCCCTCCACAGCGACACGTCTCCCGGGACCAGCTCAGCCATTGGTGCTTACGCTGCAGAAACACCCCTGCCCGTGGTTCCTCTGTCACAGAACACCACCCCAGTGTCCAGGTTAGTGACCCACTGGGATGGTACCACCCACCCCATCAGATCACAATCCAGGGAGGTGCATTCCCACGCTCAGCACAACCTGTCATTGCTCACTCTGCACCCACTCTGAATCGGAACACTTTTAGCCTTGTTTTGCATTCCTGGGACAAAGCAGCCTCAAAACACTAATGATCTAAGCAGAAGATAATCCTAATTCTTTAGGTGACTTTGTTTGCCACTATAAGGGGTCAAGAAGTTTATCAATCTTAAATAAAAAACCCAACAAATAGAATTCTTCATAGCACCATTATCAGCCAAAAGTAAGTCTCCAATGAAGAATCTGGTTCAGTCACAAGTGAGCATATGATTTCTAAGCACACTTCTTGCCAGCAGAGCAAAACCAGACATCAGGCCCTCAGTACCATGTATTCTAGGCACAGGTGTACTCAGAATACACCCCCAGCTGGCACAATCTCTGCAGCCAAGGAAATAAAACATGGATTGCATGCACAAATTTAAATATTCTTATGTCCTATTATAACTTTTTTATACAGACTGAGCTAAATCAAACCACTTTTAAACTTGGCTAAGGGGGAAAAGAATTGCTATTACTTGCTACACTTTTACCCAACCAGCCTGTAACTCAGTTTCCTTTTTAGACTTAAATAGCAGCTAAGAAAAATACTCATATGTGTGACTATGAAGTCCTAGTAAAAGCTGGTAACAACCAAAAGCCAAATGACTGCCCTGCTGCCTTCAAAAAGGTGAAACAACATTGAGGGGAGACCCAATGAATCTCATATCCCTTCAGAAAGCAAACACTTTCAGGTCTTCCATGACATTATCTGATATGACAAGCTATCTCCCTCTTCTGAAAGTTACTGAGGCTTACAGGCATCTAGATAGCTAAGGTGGATATTGCTTCAAGACCAAGCCATTCCCAGCATGTGAAGAACTCGCTCTGCCTTACTCTAGTAACCTAAAATGTGTACACTAGTACACATATAGAATAAAGATCGTTGAAGGTTTGTTATAGGTTTTTTCAAATTTTAACTGAGACAGTTCACTAAGAAAGACCAAACTACTAATCAGCACCACGAGAGGCATCCAGAAACAAAGTGGTTTTGTTTCTCCTGAGTACAGAGGCTTTTGTCCCAAATGTGTATTTGTTTCTCTGAGTTTAAACATCAACACCCTCTGATAACAGCCATCAATGACATATAACCATTTCTTAAAAACATCCAATTCTTCTGATCTGTGGAAGCATAGAAGAGAAACCTCGAGTTTCCAAAAACTCACCTTATCTACAGATGCTTGCATTTTCGCTTTAATCTCCTCTAATGACAGAGGGACTTTTGGTGTTTTTGGAGTTAGAGTTTTATCCTTCTTGGAATCTGGAGTCTGAAAATTATTAATTTTATTAGCAACTTGCACATAAAGCTACTTAGTGTATAAGACCAAGATTTATAAAAGAAGCATATATTAGAACCTACTGTGGATTTTATATGGAATGGAAAAACTAGCTAGCACATACATATTCCATACGGTTTTCAAAAAGTCATGAAAGCTAAATCTGTGCTTCCAACACATTCCTCAGAAACAAGAAAAAGTACAGTATTCAAGTTTGGAGCTAACATTTTATGTTTCTGAGCAGGTGCCTCCACAGCTCTTTTTCTCAACAGATAAGGTCATGCTTTAAAAGGCACATCTGTACTGCTTCTGAGATGCTCTCCTGCCATCCAGCCCATGCTCATTTCTGTATGAACACCAAAAAATGTGGCAGTTTGAGCCACATTAGAAATCCAAAATCCAATTTCCAGGCCTCTCTCTCTTCAGTCCGTCTCCAATTTCGCCTGGGATTCCTTTCCCTGGCTCCAAGTTGTTTTATCAGCAGCCCATCTACTTGGTTCTGCTTTAATGCTGAGCCTCTAAAATCCACCCCCCCACCAGCCTCAATGCAGTGGGGGGGGGAGGAAGCCCCCTAGCCTTGGCCACAGGCAGTTTGGTCCAGTTATACACTGTCCCAAGTGTCCCGCAGCTGCAGGGGAGGGGAAGAGGGCCTGGCCTCCTCCCTCTTACCTCAGGTGCTGTGAATCTCTTCCTTCACAGCACACACTCCAAATGCTGCCTCTAACTCTGGCCTAGGCAGGGTTGGGGGGGCGCAGGGCTCCCTCCCCCCCGGAGGGGGAGTGAAGGAGCCCAGCCACCCCCTGGCCTTCTCCACCTACACGCAGCAGACACCACAGCAAAACTCCCAACAGCTCCCAGTGCCGTGTATATGATTTTTCAGCAGAAACAAACAACATGGACAGTGATTGGCTCTCCAGGGAACACTGCCCTGGCACCTGGCATCACATATGAATACACGCAGCAAGGAAAAGCTGCATAAAGCAGCAGGACACAATTACAAAGCACTGAACAAGAAAACTGTCCGTCCTGAGACAGATCAGTGCAGTGAGAGCCACTCAGCAGCAGCAGCCTCCAGATGTACTCCAGTGGGAATATGCTTGGCAGCCACCCTCTTGCACAAGGTGCTAGCAAAGAGATTCTGAATTTCAAACCGAGGGATCACCAACATTCCCACGGGACAGCACGTCTGATTTCAAACCTTGGCTGTTGTAGTCATGTATTGATCACTGAAGGGTTTCACAGGAGAACAGTATCCTCAACATGCTTCGTATTAAGATTCAAACACCTAACTTAAAGGCTAGTATGTTATTTGAAATTACCATTAGGCAAGAAAACTAGCTTCCACACTAGAATAAACCTTTGGTTTACTCATCTGTTTTCACTCACTTTTGATTTAGATGCTGGTGTGGACGGCTTAGAGTCTTTTCCATTTTGCTTTGCTTTCTGCATACTTTTTCCTGAAACCTCACGGACTGGCTGTAAAGCAAGCACACAAGTTCATTTGCCAAATGAACTGCACATAGATCATTAAAATAATACTCAAGATTTTGTGACAAATTCATATACTACTTAACCTCAAAAAACTATTCTCACTATCCAGGAAACATGGTCAACATCCATCATTTAAGCAAAAAAGCATATTACAGGAACCCAAATGAAAACCTGTTAGTGCAGCACAATACGTAACATACATTCTATTATGATACTATACAACTACGTGAGATCCTCACTTTATATTCCTTATATATTACACCTTTCCTTGCATATTACTATGCAGTCTTCGGGGGCAGATATTGCTTTAACTATTATTTCTTGTTTGGCATTCCATACAGAAACATCATCTGACATGTGCATGGGACATGATACCACATGCACATTTAGGAATTGGGAGTCTTATACTCCTATGTAAATCAAGGGACCATTTTGTTCAGCCACACTAGACTGGGTTAGATGGCAGGAATCTGCAGTTCAGATTGTCTTTACCAGGCCTTAATCCACTGTGCACTATCACCTATGGAAATTCATTAGGACAGAGCAGCACACAGTGAATTAAAACACTAAATATTCGTTTCCAAACAGTACATATGAACATAAAACTTCAAGCCTAAGCACACAAGAAAAAGAAACTGCCTCCCCTTGTCCCTCTGCAGCTGCCCTGCTGTGTGTTTGTTCCACCAGCAGATGGCCCTCGAGGGCTGACAGAATTGCACTCACGTTTATATCCTTCTGTATTTGAAGGACTAATAAGTCCTTTCCACAGCCTGCAGGACTAACAAGGGCAAACCACAATCCACTGTGACCAGGATTTGCTGCCCAGCAGCCATACAGGCCCCCTACCAGTCTGACAACTGCATGTGTGTACTGTTAACCCCCCAGTAACCCCTCTGCAGCCAAGGAAATAAAACATGGATTGCATGCACATTCATATTTAAACATTCTTATGTCCTATTACAATTTCTTTACACAGACTGAGCTAAATCAAATGCATCCCCCATTTGCACATGCCAGACAGCTGTGCTTAAACTCACTGATTTAAGGGACTACCTGCCCAATTACTGTTGTATCACAGTGTGAGTGTCTATGTATATGCCACTTACTTTCTTCACTGGTGGTTTAATTTCTTCCTCATCATCCTCTAAGTCATCCTCATCACTACAATTAGAAAGGAGGTCACTCACCAAAACTCAAGATTCACGTCAGGAAATAATCTTCCCCTTCCCTCCCAGTAAAATGTTTTCCTCACAAAGGAAGTAATCTTCCCAGCTCTACCTTATACCTTGTTTTCACACATGGCAAGCAAGGTGTCAGAGCAAGCACTACCTTTAAAGCAGTTAAATGAACTTCCTTCTGCCTTAATACTGAAGGCAAGTATCTTAGGGACTTCCACTACTAATAAAGAAATTCTAGCTTTATTACAAATTAACAAATAACAGGAAGCTAAGTTTTATAACCCAATATGACACATTTGAATAACACTAATTTAGACTGCATTGTGGAGATAAATGAGGCAATTCTGCTTTTTTCCTAGCCAAGATAAAAAACAGTTTGCTCACAGTTATGCCATACAATTCATATTCTGAAAGTTGACCCTGTATTTCAAAATACATTATCAAAACAAGAATACATACTCATCATCATCATCCTCATCTTCATCATCATCCTCATCATCTTCTGATAATTTTGGTTTTTTCTTTAAAAACAAAAAAGTATGCTAAGCGTTTAATACCATTTTACACCAGTAAAGAGCAACTGTCATCCAAAAAATTTCACAGCATAATTACAATACTCTCTTCCATCAATTTAGCTAAAACTCAGGAGGTTACAGCTGCCAAGTCCAAAACTACTGATAAATTTACAGCACGCTCTGAGCACATGAACCTTTCATCTACAGGAAAGAGTTTCAATCAGCATTTCAACCCCTGCAGTAAACTGATGTTTATACCAGAATCTGCACACACTCAGTTCACAGAGAGAATTCAGAGTATTTACTGCAGTGGACAAAGTTTCCACAAAAGTAGCCATTGTATTTTGTGCCTCCAACAAAGCTTTGGGAACTATCTGCACTTAAATACAATCCTGTAACTTGTCAAGATGCAAATACAAAATAATCCTTTCCCACATATTAAGTGAATCATAGCAAGCCATCTAAGTGCATACTTCTAGAGGCAGCATTAATACCAAACCAAAAGAAAATGCTTCTAACAAGGTGACTGCAAGTCCATATACCTGTGGTGTTTTAGCTCCTCCTCCACTTGCTGGTCTCTTCGTTGAAGCGTTCACAATTTTTGCATCATCTTCTTCCTCATCTGATTCTGGTTCTTCTTCTAATGCTGAAAAAGTGAAGGCAGCACGTAAAAAACCTCACCTTATTTAATAATGGGTAAAGCAAGACTAGTAGTAAGAAACAAAGAGAAGAAGAGCGCATCACCCACCACCGAATGGGCTTGGTCTTACTGAGGTGAATTGATGGGAAGCTCCTACCAGTGACCAAACCACTGAGATCAGAAACTTTTCCAGCTGACTGCATGCAGGTACTACTACACTGAAACCAAAAGTAGGCAAACAACCATTCATACACACTAGTTTTAACACCCCTCACAGATAAGAGGCCAAAAAAAGTTAAGAGTAACATTTTCTCCATTCCTCAGGAGATACATTTTAAAACTTCTAGAGAAAGATGAGTTTCGAAGACAATCCTACAAAGGAGAAGGCTAGTCCTGGCTTAGTTTAGTTCAAACTCAGAACTATTTCATGGGCAGTCTTCTCACACTCAGCTGAGAACAGAAGGCCTACTGTAGGATGCTAGCACCGACTTTCAAGGGCAGAAACTAGAACTCCAATTGCAATGCTGACAAATGCCCCCTACCCATACAAGGCACATGGCAAGAAAAGGCATGCAAGCATTTCAATGAACTGCTGTGTCCTACAGCCACCTCATGCCTCCAGGGACTGTGACAAAGATTCAGGGGGTCAGTAACAGAAAAAGGCACTGCTTGAGACACCAGTTACACACCCCTGTAAGCTCTATTGGGGCTGCTAGGTGCAAAGCCCCATGAGTACCCAGCCATACGTACCTACGAGGTGCTGCCCGCTGACATAAACAGGCCCTGAACCGCATTTCAACCTCAGCACCACGGGCGGTGTGATCTCAAAGCCCCCTAACGAAACCTGGAGGAAAAAGGGTTTTTACTTAGTCAAATCTTCTGGGCAAAGTATAGTCAACAGACAGTCCACTCAAATGAAAACAAGAACTCTGTAGACAATATGACTAACACAGTTACTCCAAGTTCCCACCTGACAGAATATTCCAGAAGTGTTAAGAGTCAAATCAGGGTCAATAAGCTACCAGCAGTGTTTACTATATTTAATTTATCCTATCCACCTAAGCCAGACCAATCCACACTCATTTTACTTCCCTTGGTAACAATGCCAATTTGAACATTATACATCCCACCTGCCCACAGCACAGGGCACTTCTACTTGTACATCATCAGCAACACTGAATCAAACTACATTCCAGATGGCAGAAATGACAAGAAGAGTGCCCTTAAATCAAGAAACAGCAGCAGTCATCTTCAGAATCTCTTAAAAGCTTGGGACATGCAGAAAAGCTAATTATTCTCATCCCACGCTCAAAGAAAGCAACACAGGCTACAGATGCATCTGCCTGCATATACATCTGTATACATTTAGATAACATGCATAATTACTAACACTTTTTAAAAAATGCATAATTTGAGCAAGTGTATTACCTCCAGATGAGTAAAGTAACTCTACGAGGCACAAAAAGTACTTTCGTATTTACTACACATCAAAACTGACATTTGTCTTAGCACACTTATCACTGCTCATTTTCACTAAAATTCACTTGACCCAAGCCCATTTTTATCTACTTTTTGTCACCCAAGACCAAATTCCCAGTAGATTTTCCCACATTCCTGCACTTACCGTAGGCTGCACTGACATTTTCAGGGATGCCAGCACTACTTTAGTAGGGTTGCCTTCATAGTCCAGTGCTTCTGCTTCTACAACGTGTAATTCGTCTTTGGCTCCAGCACCTAAAGTAACCTGTAAAGTCAAGAACAGGGCAGTCTGAGCATCTGCTTAAATATCTTTAAGTCTTTTAACTCCATTCGCTATTCTGCATCAATTAATGCTGAAGTCTTTATTTCTGACTGCTAATGATTCCATCAAACTCCATCCCAAGCCAATATCCCTCTTTCCCCACAACACTGGCACTTCCAAGGTGCAACTCTAGGCATGTGTTTTGAAAGCGAAATCAGGCCTCTTGCTACTGGATCACTGCACTGAAATGGGTCGGTGACAAGTTCAGTCAGCCCTGAAGCTGGTCCAAGGAAAGAACTAAAAACACATGCCAAGAGGAAAGCTAAAAACTACCTCTTTCACAGGATCACAGTCTATATTCTTCCCCTTCCCGCCCTCTTTCATCTGCCAATGGTTTCCCTTTGTCACACTGCACTTTTTGTTTACTTGCCATTCACTGAGGAGTCAGGTAACAACGGCTCAGTTCAGTACTGTCATTTATGCACATGACTTTTGCTTTATTTCACCATGGACTGAGAGCTGCTGTCCCAGGGCATTTCAAAACTCGAGTGCCTGGATTCCTTACCCTGAGTATGAGTCTGGTACTTCCTGAAGTTTCAAAACTCATAGCTGCAGGGAGGCTAATGTGTGACATGCATCTGTCAGGCCTGAAATTCCAGTTCACTGAACCTCTGGCCTTTGAGTCAGGACTACATGCAGAAGATGTAAAAACCAAGATTCCTTTGAAGTACTACAGTTACTCCTGGGACCAGTGCACAAGGCTCTGTGCTTCCTTTCCCACTGCCCATACAAAGAAAGCCTTCCACCCTCCACAAAAGATGTGGGTGTAAACACTTCAGGCAGAGGCACACAAAGTTTCCATTCTCCAGAAGCTGAGCTTTAAGGAGGTTACAATGGTCCAGACTAGATGTATCAGACTGAAGGCAGAGAAACAATACTGGATTTACTACTCCATGCACATTTTGTTACTGCTAATTTAAAGAGGTGAAATTGCTGCTCTGATCTCACCTCTTGACAGGTTGGCAAAAACACCGAATTTATCAGCTGGTGAGACAAATTCTGGAGCATGCCCTTCACCCCCAGTTACTGCTGTCATTTGCACCAGTTCAAGTAATACTACAGCACTTACCATTCACGTATTTCCTAAGTGTTTGGCAAACATCCATTCACTTGCTTTAATTTCTACACTGAAAGAATGCACTGACTAAACAGGTAATGAAGCAATGACCATTCCTTTCCATTCTTACCTGGTTTTTGTAAGACATTTACAGAAACTCTCATGTCAATTTAAACCTCTACATACATTAATAGTCTTGTACTTTTATCCTTTTTCTGCCCATCTTTCTGTACCTCATGCCCAAGTCCATCACTACATTTGTATCTTAATGGGCACTGTCAGCCTTTACACCATCAGGCTTGCACCAGGTGCACGATCAGTCACCAGGTATTTGCTACCTTCACACCTTATCAAGCCCTTCCTCAGCTCACCAAGGAATTTTCTGTTTGTAGCCATGTCCAAGACCTTCCAAGTCTCTTAAACATTTCCAGTTTGCCACTTGATATTTTAACACCCATTTCTCCTGTTAGTATTAACTCTTACCTTTCAAAAGACAGATTTAGCTTCCCCCCCCGCCACAACCCTAACAACAAAGTAGTGCTGTGGATCCAACCTACTTTATCCCCCTCAATGTCCTGAAAATCAGAAGAAATGCTACAGGTAATTAAAAAAAAAAAAAAAGGATCTTTGGGTAAATTACTCAGTGACTAACTCCATCTGCTTGACAAACGTTCAGATACAAGAATTTTGTGTATGGACTTGTCCTGTACATACTTTACTGTTATATACTTCCACCAAAAGAAATTGTACTTAAGAACAAATTACTCATTGTCAAGTCCAGGTTGTAATTTTCATAATATACAAGGACTGAAGACACGTGACTCACACCACCAGAAGTGTTTTAAATAACACTATATTTGGAGAGCATTATTATGCAAGTCACCTGTAGGAAGCAATTCTGCTGCAGGAATTAGTCCACAATTATAAGACTCTCTTGTTTCATCATCAAAACACCTCTTTGTATTCAAATAAACACAGCAACAAACAATAGCGATGCTACAACTCTAATTCCTTTTCCATGAAGCTGAGACACATTGATGTTCTCCTACCCAAAACCAACATGGTCAGCCCAGAACAAAGGCCTTGAAATACCGTGCCTGGCTTGTGTGGCACCACAAAGATCTAAGGACACTTCCAAGAAATCATGTACAGATCCCATTCCCAGGATCAGCGAGGAGTCTGTGAGATGAATTATCTGAACAGAAGATGTGCCTTCCTCAGAGGGCAAACCAAGGACAGTAAATCAAAACATAAACCCTTCTTCCTCTCATTTAGACTTACTTATTATCTGCTTCTGGGCAAGAAAAAGAACTGGAATTATGTTTGGGAACATACTGAAAAGCTTTTCAAAACAAAGTTACTAATGAAGTCTAAGAAAGTGTGTCTGTGTATGATTCCTATAAATTTGTCCTTGCCCCTGTGCTCCTGTAGCACCTGCACTATTGTATTAAGAGATGCCTGAGTGCATATTTTGGCATTTAATTATATTTACTATATACTGATTAACCTACTGTGAATTGGTTTCTAACCTTTCTCAGCCTTATACTGCTTGCTGTAAGCAATGAAACACCGCTGGATGCACTTTTTTCAATACAGTAAATATTAAAAGTGACACTTTACTCCCACTAAGAGGTTATTTTTAACAGATTTGCCTAAAAACACTTACCACTAAAAGAATAAAGCTCTAGGGGAAAAAAGATACACAAAAAAACTCACCCCCTGTTAAGACAAAACAATACTTGCCGTTCTCAGAGACAACTGGTGCTCATTTTCTTCATCGTCTACTTTGAACTGATACTCCTTATCTGCTTTAAGTTCACAACCTGCGAAAAGACAATTTAAGTATAAGCCTCCTGTTTTATTTAATAAGCAAGTATTTGCTAATCATTTATTTTAACCTTGCTGCTTTTCTAAACTTGCACCGAGCATTAGCGGCACTCTGGGCTCGCAGGCGGGGAACACGTGGGATGGGGAAAACCCCAGGCGAGCCCGCGGCCTGGTGCCGAGCACGCAACTCCCGCGTGGCCCGTTCCAGCCCATCCGCTGTGAGACCACTCCCGCCCAGCGTCCCCCGCGCTGTCCGGGCCGGTGCCACCTCCACAAGGGCCCGGCGGGGCGCCGGGCCTGCGGGGCAGCCCCACGCTCGGCCCCGTCGCGCACCACGTGCTCCGACCTCCGCCGCGCTGCCACGTGCTCCGCGGGCGCGCCGCGTCCTTACGGCAACGGTAGCGGAAGTACACGCGGAACAAAGCGGGAACAACGCGGGCATCAAAGGGAACGGGCCGCGCCACGTGCGGCTTCCGCACCTTACGTGCGCTTCGCTGCGGGAACTGGCCCGGCCGGACCCATCCCCCCCAACCCACCCACCATAGGGCCGCGCTCGGCCGCGCACAGGCCGCGGTCACATGCGGGGCCCTGCCGCCTCGGGCCTCGGGGAACGCTGGGGCCCGGGCGTGCTGCGGGCACGTTACCCTTGAAAGAGAAAAGGTCTGCGGGCGCTCAGGGGCCCCATGCTCTCCATATCCATTGGGCAGCTGTTCTCCATGCGGGCGGCGGGCGCAGCGGGCGAAGAATATCAGCAGCAGCGCGAGCCGACAACGCAATTTAAATGAAGCCGCATACCGCTCCGCCCCCGCGCTGATATATGGCCCGCCGAGCTTCTCGACGACGATCCCGGGAGTTCGGCCACGCCCAGCCGGCTCCCCCCCGCACCGGCCCCTGCGCCGCGCGGAGGGGGTCGCCGCGCGCCCGGGGTGGCCGTGGCCGCGGGGGACGCCGAGGGGGCGAGCCTGAGGGGCGAGCGGTGTGAGGGACGGGGGGGTCAGAGATGGGGGTCGGAGATGGAGGCCCGAGGGACGGACCGATCTGCCGAACCCTGCCGGCGTCGTTCCCGCTCCGGGCCCGGCCGCCGGAGCCTCCCCAGGGGCTGAAGGACCGAGGGGCTCCCTCGCGACACGCGGCGCAGAGCGGGGGGCGCGTCGGGAGCTGCTCGGCGGCAGCGGAGCCCTGCTGCGCGGGAACGGGCTCTTCTCGCTCCCCTGCTGCGCGTGCCTGGGCTGGGCGCTCCTGTCGGTTTGGACTGAAATAAAAACTAAACAACAGCAGCCCCATGCACTGCCTGCTGGGATGAGCTCCCATCCCCAGGTACCTGGGCCACTGGCTCAGGGACAATAATCTTTCGGGAAACCCCTTTTCAGCTAGCGTGTGATGGGAGCAAACCAGTTTTTAATGTGAATCAGCACATGGGGAAATCTGTCACAACAAATTTGAAAGTCACAGGTTATTTTATACTCGGAGCTACAAGCCCTAGAAAGACAGGTGGCCCTGGATGGACCCACCATCCACGTTCCAGGCTGTCCTGTCCAGGGGCTGGTCTGTACAAGTCAGGTCCCTTGGGTGCTAATCTCAAGATTACTTTACCTGAGCACTTACTCTTCAAAAACAAAAGTTTATAGGCTCTTGTTGCTCATCTCTTCACTTACTTGAAATGTGTAACTTGCGTTCTCTGCATCCATATTCATTAAGGAACAACATTAAATGATGTTGCAGAAAATGAGACAAACTGAAATGAAAATTAACTGATGCAGTGGTAAAATGAAACCTACCTGTCAAAGATTCCCCTTTCTCACTCTCCTACGAAGCTGATCCCTTTGCAAACAGTAAATACAGTTCCAGAGAACATACACGTTGAGCTTAGCTTTAAGTGTAAAGTCTCCTATTTGCAAAATACAATTACTTTTCCAAGTTGGAGGTTACCTGAGCCATGGTTTTACCAGGATATGATCCCCTACAATGCTGTGAATGTTACAGCACATCATGCACTGAGGATTGCCACAGGCTGACTAAAACTTGCCTGTGTGTGAAAACAAGGTACAGGAATAAATTGGAGTGCAGCTTAGCATGTGAGTGAGGACGGGCAATTTGGGCCCTGTGGGAGCCCTCTTTTAGAGTCACTGGATAATTTTGGCTGGAAGGCACCTCTGGAGGCCACCTGGTCCAGGAGCACCAATGTGGGTCACGCTTAGAGGGCTCTGTGTCTACTGCTTGTCTGGGCCAGTTTGTGCAGGGACTAACCAGCACTGGTTACAGCTGACCTGGAAATACTGACACGGGGTAGAATTTGTGGGGTTTTTCTATTTCTCTTATAATCTTCCTACCACTTCTTCTTTTTACCTAAACAGAAGGTGACACACTTGTAGCATGTGGCAAGAGTATTTAAGTAAAACCAGGAAAAACTAACAATCTTTTTTTTCTTCCCTTGCATCTTATAATAGAGATGTTGTTAAATTGCAACCTGTGCATCATTTGTATGTACAGAAATAACACCCTGATGGATTTTAAAGTCACAAAAGAGATCAGGGCGATCACTGAAGCATCCTGGGCCACCCTTCCTGGTATTTTTTCAGTCTAGATCTTCTTCAGGGGCAGCTCCCATCTCTGCTCTCTGTCACCAGTGACAGGACTGAAGGCAATGGCTGGAGCTGTGTCAGTGGAGGATTAGGTTGGATCTCAGGAAAAAGTTCTTCCCCCAGAGGGTGGTTGGGCGCTGAACAGGCTCCCCAGGGCAGTGGGCACAGCCCCAAGGCTGCCAGAGCTCCAGGAGGGTTTGGACAACACTCTCCATGTTTGGACATGGTGGGATTGTTGGGGTGTCCCGTGCAGGACCAGGAGTTGGACTAGTTGATCCTTGTGGGTCCCTTCCAGCTTAGGATATTCTGTGATTCTGTGATTTACGTCTCTTAAAGTCTGACCAGGAAACCAGAAAAGGAAAAGGGTTTATTCCATTTTCTAAACTTTGGTTTGGTTCATTTCTTATTATGTTTATGACACAATTACTGCTAAGCGTGGCCCTTAATGTAGGAAGAGTGGCAACTGTAGAGAAGATACACACAGGGATTCGTGAAGCAGCAGACAGAAAAACTAACAAGTGTGGTGGCTGGTGTCCCTGGCAGAAGAGAGGCTTCATTAGCCATCAGACATCTCAGCCTGAAGAGTCGTTCAGATGCAGATAAGACATTTGTTCGGTTTGGCTTGAGATGAGAACAAGTGAAAAATGAGAATGAGTATCAAAATTTAAACTGAAGTTATGGCATGACTCAAATACCAGACTGGAGCTGGAAGGTGAATGGTAGTAGTGAAAGGGGCTGCAGCTGTTTGCATGTACATTATTTACCTGGTGTAATACCGACAGGAGGACATGGCTGCTGGTTGAATTCACCCAAAGCTGGCTCCACAGGGCTCTGAGCAGCTCAGGAAGACAATGGCAGCTCCAGAATTCCACTCCAGTCTGTCAAAGGGGAGCAGTGCAGCCACAGCATGCCCTCCTGCATACCGAGTCACTTTTAATTCATTTACAGTCTTCCATTGCTGAGGAAATAAATGTGTGAGGAAACAAAGGACAGACACAGAGAAGCAAAACAGGGGTAGGAAGTAGGAGATATGTGCTTACTGCATCTCATTTGGCTCCATGGGGCTTTAGAAGGGCTGTCATATATCATGACATTTATTATTTCTGCCTTGTACTAGCATGAGAAGTCCATTACAATATCGATCATTTTACTCTGCTCAGCTCTGTGCTATGTAATACTCAGCATAACAGAAAGGGCTTACAAGTGATTTAGAAGGAGCTGTACAGGGAGAACTGAGGAAGAAATCGGAATCAACATGGTTTCCGTTAATGGAATTCTCTTTTTAGTAAGCTTTTACAAAACTAAGGAAATTGCATTTTGAACACAGTTACAGCCACAGCACAGTTGCAGCCAAGCAACTACAGACATAGTAAAGATTTCCTATGCTATCTTAATTTACATGCTGACATAATGAAATAATCTTCAGCTGCCCTGTCTGTGGCTGTCATGTAACTTCTTCACCAGGCTCCTCCTCCATTCACCACTCAATACTTTCTGCCCCAGTGAACTAAGGGTCAAAATCTTAAATGGCATCAAAACACTTTACCCTTCCTTGATCTCAAAAAGACCACCTGCACACTGGAAAATCCAAATAGTTCAATTTAGCCTGAAATAACTGCATATCGCCATCATCAGAGGGGGCAGCTCGAGGCAGGTGTCAGCTGTTCTCATTCACATGCCATAGAGATGCCAGCAGGAGCAATGTGCTGTCCTGGCACTGCAGTGGCAGCAGGGACTGAGCTGCCCTGGAAGGTGCAAGGCAGCCTGTGCCCTGAACACGGAGGTGCAGCACAAATGAGAGCTGCACTGCCTGCTGGGGGCTGCTTTGAGAGCATTTGTCCATGGGTAATTTCCCTCCACTTCTAGGTCAGTGTGCAGACAGCTCAGGACAGGGAGCTGTGATGGAGGGACCACCCTTACCAGGTTGTCTTCTTTCTTACATGGAGTCTGCTTTTTACTGCTGATCCTGACAGAGGTGGCACTAGAAGTTTTCTTCATCATCTGTCTTACTGTCTGTTCCATGCCCAGCTTTGCCTGTAGCACTTTATTTATGCAGGCCAGCATGAAGGGCTGCATCAGAAGGTCCTTCAGCACCAAAGCAAGCCACATCCTGTAAGGAGAGCCCAGGGAGGCTGGTGACCAGCCCCTGTGCTTTTGGCAGCAAGTGCTGGTGCTGCTCCATCCCTTCTATGTTCTTCCATGATAGATTTCAAGGAATCTTTCTCCTGTTGGGGCCCAGTTTCAGTCATCCAACCCTAAAAGGGAGGAATGACAGATGAGCTAGGATGTTCTCAGGAAAGTACTCAGGTATCACAGTGATGATAAGAGGTAAAGTTACATGATAAATTACACCAGGTGTTACCGGCACAGCAGTAAAACCTGAGATAGCCTGAAATGTCTCCTTTTTTAATTCTTTTTTTTTTTTCTTTAAATGCCCTAAAAGTCATACCAATGGACACAGGATCTAAACATTTAGTAGGAATGAGCAAGCCTTGAGTATGGGATAATTAGTTTTAATTTAGAATGAATATGACATGTACATGAATATAGGTCCCTTGACAAAAAGACATCAGAATTGTACACATGGGAGTTTTTTTTTCCGTGCAGTTGAGTCCAGAGATGGCTCTGCTCCTGCCAAGATGGATGGTCCTAGCCTGGATGTCAGCCAACTGTTTGCAACAGTAAGCAGTAAAAGTTGGATTTTTGCAATGACTTGGATCAACAGGTCATAGGGACCACGTTCCATATGAGGGCCAGGGCTCTGAGTGTCACAGGAGCTAAATGAGTACCTTGGTTGGCATGGCCGTGCTTTGGGAGGGAGGGAGGAAAGAAGACAGGATGTAAGAAAAATGCTTCTTCCATGGAGTTACATGATGCAGGGCTGAGCTGTCTCTACTTGCCTGCCTGAATGCTGGACATGTGTTCAAGCCACAGCTTTAAAGAAAAGAGAGGGAAACTGTGTACCAGATGCAAGTTAAGGGAAAATAGTATCCTGAACATTTTCACCAGCCCTTGCCAATATTCAGGACAGTCCTTACCAAATTAGTGTCTCTGGTCCTTAAACAAGACATAAACAGCAGAAAAACTGAATTCTACCAACTTCTATATACTGTGCTCATACACTGCTTTGCGGCAACATTTTATATCAATGTGGTAGGTTGACCCTATCTGGGCACCCGGTGCCCACCAAAACCACTCAGTCACTGCCCTCCTCAGCTGCACAGGAGAGAGAAAATACCCCAAAAGGCTCATGGGTCGAGATAAGGGCAGGGGGAGATCACTCGCTAGTTATGTCACAAGGAAAATGGACCTGACTTGGGGGAAATTAATTCAATTTATTACCAATCAAATCGGGGTAGAGTAACAAGGAAGAAACCCAA